CTCTCTCTCTCTCTCTCTCTCTCTCTCTCTCTCTCTCTCTCTCTGTGTGTGTGTGTGTGTGTGTGTGTGTGTGTGTGTGTGTGTGTGTGTGTCGGAGAATTCCATGCACATTATCACATCCGATACATCTGAAGTTCTGAACGTTGAGCGGATGGTCACATCAAGACTGCATCTGGCCGCAACAAGGTCGAAATATACTCAAGAATGCCTGCATCTGGACATTTGTGTGTGTGCGGGCGCAAAAGTCCTTTTTTCTAAATCCAAACATCTTTTGTAATCTTACTTGGTAGGGGCAAGGGTGGTGCTCCCCCCCCCCCCCCCCCCTTTCTTTTCAAGGGGGTAGCCCATGCATTCCTGTATATTTATTTGAGTGCATCACGACTAGAACGGTGATCTGATTACTAACCGTAACGTGTGTTTGACCCTTCAGCCACATGGGCCAGGTGGGCCAGGGTAACATCACACAAAACTTGTACAGAAGAAATAATAAACTGTATAAGGATTTTATCATTTTAACATTTAAAATGAAATAAAGTAAACACTACGCAATGTGGCGAAAGAAAATAAAAAACACCATGTGTTTCAGCTTTCAAGAGTCTGTACATCCCAATCCAAGAGTGAAAAGAAGAATGAATACCAAGGAGGGCGACAAGGCAGTCACCGTCCACCCCGGCCCAGAAGGGGATGCACGAGTCCCCTCCATCCGCGTCCAACATTGAGGGCGATCTCAGCCTCTTGGCTAAGATCAAGTGCAATGTATCTGTTCTGATCAGTTTAATATCTGATCCCCCCCCCAAAAAAAAGAGAGAGAGAAACGAATCAAATGATTGTGTATATCAAAAGTCGATTATAAGATTGATATAAAAATTTGTTGTAATCAATTAAAATAAACACTTGACTCCCATAGATCTCAATCTAATAGTCAATTTTGAAACAAACAATGACAACAATTTTGAACAACACCAATGAATTAGTGACAACCACCATCATGATCATGAGAAGGAAGGAAAGGCCGCAGGCAAAGACTTACAGCAGAAAGAGCACTTGTGTAAATCTAATACTTTAAGAGCCGTCGTGGATTTCCAATTAAAAGATTGATATTAAATTTTAAAATTGAATTTTCAGAATCTATTATTAAGTAAACATTGAGTCCGCAGTTCTCACTTCAATAGTCAATTATAACATAAATATCGATACTAAATCAATAATATAATAATATAATTTAATTTAATCATGCAAGGAATATGAGTGTAAACGATATACAGAAAACCAAGTTGCGAAATCACACAGATGTCTGAGTAGTCGTGTACAAGCAGAGAGCATAATTGCACCGAGAATCCATCCAAATAGAGCAATACAATGAAGTAATGAGCCAATGTTCAAGCCCGTAGGCCACACCAACACAGTATCCAAAGTCACTCCTCTCTGTCTGGCGCCCAGCGCCCAGCCTACTCTACTCGCCTATCCTACCTACAGCTGTGTTCACGCAACAGGCTCACTTCGACTCTCGAAGACCAATGTACATGATGTCAACACCATAGCCGACCTCTCTTCATGCACCAGGTACGTATCTCGTCACCCTCATCAGACCTTAATACCCCACACTTCGCCTCCTTCCCTGAAGACCACCAGATCGCCCTCTTACCCCCTAGCGCCCAGCAGCCCGGCTATGGCCTGCGTCCCGCTGCCCTCAGTGCCCCACCTCACCTCTACGCGCCTGTCAGCGCCCTTGGCCGCCACGCAGCATCAAGCAGTAGCGCAGCAGCACTTCCACATTGCCTACGTGGGCCAGAATATCTGGCCTGGGCTGCCTCACATCTCTTATGGAAGTGGCAGCCTCCTGGATGCTGCGTGTGGCCTGGCTGGAAGCTTCCAGTAGCTTCCCGTTGGGCCTCAGTCCCTGCGCCCAGGCCCGACATTACAGTTGAGGGCCTGGGCCCCTTTACAGTTGGGCACGGCCTGAGTCTCCGGACTTGGGCTGTTTGCTGCATCTGTGCAGGGCTCCCAGGTAGCTGCGTCGACAGTACTGCTTTTGCCTAGGCCGATGGCCTGCTTCTCAATGTATTGGCCCTGCTTTGTGTGTATGTGCCCAGGCGCAACTGTCAAAGCCTGGGCCAACTGTTTGACGCAGCTTAGTGAGGCTCACGCGTCTACTAAACCAACTGACGCGTTGCAGGAGCCTGAATACCCGCATATGGAAATGTCGAATTTTTGGCCTCTGACAAATATTCAGGCCCCCCTTCACTTAGGGCAGGCACTTGGCTTGCTGGGGGCCTTCGCCCAGAACATGTGATGTCTGATAGGGCCCTGTGAGGACTCGTTCCTCGCAATCATTTAAAGGGAAGGGAAGGCATAAGGCCAAGCAAGACTTACATCAGAGAGAGCAGTTGCGTATATCTCAGCATTTAGTTGCCCCGACACTGTTAGATATGCTGGTCTCTTGAAAAAGTCCTACCATTCCAGAACCATAACCACCACCAACAGGAGCAACAAGAAACCCACAAAAAAAAGACCACCAACAAAAAAAGAGCAGCAAGTCGAAACCAACAAGAGACCGGTAAACACAAATTAAAAAAAAAAAATCATACAATTTTTGCCAACAGAAAGAAAACAATTACCATTGCGTTACAATCTTCTTCTTCTTCTTCTTCTTCTTCTTCTTACTCCGCATGTGTGTGCTACCATCTTCACCCAAATAGAACGTACGGTCATTATTACTGTATCTAGACTGAAAGTTGCCCCTAATACAGCTGTAATGACCATACCTTCTAGTGAGGGGAAGATGGTGGCAAGGAGGGATATTTCTTCCACATGTCCCATCCTTGCATCTTGCCAGCTGTGATGATGTATACACGCACTGCATCAAGAATCTGATGAACCAGATTGCTGTTTTCAGTCTTCCGCTGCTTTCCACTATTGCTTCTCCTCACTTCGGTGATTGCTTGGTCCTGCGCTATGCCTTGCCATTCATAGGCATGCAACAAGGAGTGAGATTCTGAGCGAGGTGACCTCAAGGAGGAGGAGGAGACTGTCCGGACATCCGTTGAAGCTGGAATGATATGGAGAAGATTAGTATGAAAGAGAAAGAAACGAGGAGTTCTTGCCTTCCACATTGGCGGTGAGGGAGATCTGCCGGACATTGATTTATTAATTCAAATTTATTTGTTATTAGATAGTCCTCGTCGTCGTCATCGTCGTCATCGTCGTCGTCGTCGTCGTTGTCTTCTTCTTCTTCATTCTTTTCTCTCCTTTGTCTCGTTCCATCCATCTTGAGTTGCCATTCATGGCTTTGTCCCAAAGTTGGCTTTTGCATCATGGAGTGAACAGGACTATAGCATAGTAAAATACTAACATAGTAAAACTTGCTAAATCACTTATATATTAATATCTCACCATTGCCACTTGATCGACTACCACCTCGTGATGTTTCCATAAGTTCAAATAATAATTAAAGAAAAAGAAAACGAAAAAAAAAACCATCATCTCTTTGCTAGGTTGACAAGATTGATGACAAACGATAGACAACAAAGCATTATCACCGGCTGATCGACATCTCACAATCTCTTGCAGCTGTTGATTTGCTGATGCAATTTGTGCAACTGATAACATAACTCCCTGCTCCAGAAACAAATGAAACAAACTTTGACGAAAGATACCTTTAACAAGGTATCAATTTACTGAGCGACAGTGGCGGTGACCATGACGGTAATTGTTGACGGTGATGATGACGGTAATGGTAATGGTAATGGTAACGGTGACGGTGACGGTGACAGTGACAGTACGGTGACGATGACGGTAATGGTGATGGTGATGGTGACAGTGACGGTGACGGTGACGGTGACGGTGACGGTGACGGTGATGGTGATGGTGATGGTGATGGTGACGGTGACGGTGACGGTGACGGTGACAGTGACGGTGACAGTGACAGTGACGGTGACAGTGACGGTGACAGCAACAGTGGCAGTGACAGTGACAGTGACAGTGACAGTGACAGTGATGGTGATGGTGATGGTGACGGTGACGCTGATGGTGGGTGATGGTGACAGTGACAGTGACAGTGACAATGACGGTCAGAGTGACGATGACGGGGACGGGGACGGGGACGGGGACGGGGACGGGGACGGGGACGGTGACGGGGACGGGGACGGGGACAGTGACGGTGACATTGTTGACGGGATTTCGACCATACCTTTGACCAGTCCACTTTCTGCTCCTTCGTTGAGGGTATCAGTGTCGGAGACGTTGTCGATTCGGAGTTAATCTGAGAAAACAGCATCATCCACGAACAGTGACGGCACCAACCATGAGTTCAACCATCAAAAACAACATCTGAGAAAACAGAATCATCCACGAACAGTGACGGCACCAACCATGAGTTCAACCATCAAAAACAACAAAGTTTGGATTTCTGAGGTTTGAATGAGATGAAGAACCTTTGAAATATGAAGCTAAAATGCGAAGTATTGAGGGCTAATGCAGATGACATGCAGTAGTAGAAGCTGATAATGTAGCTCCAGAGCATTGCAAACATCACTGTGTGACAGTGTGTGTGTATATATAGATTGTGTACATCATCCTTAATCCATGTACGTGTGCGAGTATGCATTCACCCATGTATGCATGTACGCATGCATCCGCATATCCATGCATGCATGTATACATACGTAGATGCGTACATGTGCGCACGAATGTATGGATAACCATGCATGCACAGATATACAATCATCGAAACATACACTATCGGTGGAGTGAAACGCACTCACCATGCACCACAAGATAGATAAAAATTTACCAAACCAATTAAATATTGAGCCATAAGTTGAGACCCCATAGGACAAGCCTGTCTGCAAAAAGACAAGGCCACATGGGGTCCTTTAAAAGAAAAGAAAAAACGTTCAACATAATAATAATAAAAAAAAATCTACGTTACCACAGTGGCTTGCCCGGCCGGGCCAAAAAAAATTGAAAAATTAACATAAAATTTGACAAAATTATTAAAATATATATATGTACTAGGCTACCAGCCGGGCCGCCCGGGTCCCGGGTGGCCAGCCCGTGCAAGGACCAGGGAAGGTCCCAGCAAAAATAAATAAATAAATAAAAGAACTGAAAAAAAACTGCATTACACAGAAAAATAAACTGAACAACTTTTGCCTCAGGGTCACATAGAAATTCTTCACCGAATTTAGAACATGAGTCGGTGAAACTCTGACGAAACAGTTTGTCACAGCCCCTCGTTTGTTGTCCTCTTCTCCCTCTCTGCCTACGGTTTACCGGGCAGTTCTATTTGACGATATATATATATATATCGTCACAAACAGAACTGCCCGGTAAACCGTAG